GAAGGTGGTCTTTTGTCTTCTAAATTCCTCCTGATGTTCCACCATTGCTTTCTTCATTTCTTCTTCGTATTCAAGCATCACTTGTTTCTTCTTTTCCCTTGCTTCCACAGTGTCCTCCTGAATCTTTTTATACAGCGTGTTCCACTTCTCCGTGGAGGATTGTAAAAGAATTTTGTGCTCCGTTTCGATTACTTTTTCGATCAGTTCCGTTTCGTGGCGGTAGGCTTTCGTCATTATTCGTATCTGTATGAAATAATACAAAACATCGTAGTTACTTATAATTACTCACATATCTCATAGTCACCTATAATTATTAACTGATTATAACATTGAGTAATTTTACATAAAGTTTGTACAAGATGAATCGCCTAACGTGATCACGTTACATTAATTACTTGTCAGCGGACCGATCGAAATTTCTTCTTGTGCCGCATAATACGGTTTAAAGAGGCCTTTAAGACGATTATAATACATTTTTTATCAGTCCATTTCATCTTCGAAATTTTCAACGTCACCTTCAATTTTTTATAGGTAACCCTGTAATTTTTTTGACCCCATCTTTTAGCGGATGCTGAGACGAGTTCTGCACGCGTACTGAAATATCTTTCTCTCAATCTGAACTGAAGAAACAATAAAAAAGTGTATTCTAGTAAAAAAATATCCTAATAATAAAATAAGTTCGGATGTCGCAGAAAGAATTAAGCAGTCAATTATTCGCCGTCTAAATTGCCGCCATTTTGAACGTACACTGTGAATTTGCGTAAGTTTGAAACTTAAAAGTAAAAAAATCACTTCTTTCCTGTATATCTTTCTTCGCCGTATCATTTCTTCAGATAAAAAAAAATATCTTAAAATGTCTCACTCGATGCCCGCTAACTCGTAACAGAAGGAAGAAAAAGGCCGAAGGTGAGCTTGAAAACTTGGAAGAAAAAAATTGACCGATGAAAAATGTAATACGATCGTCTTAAAGGCCTCTTTAAGCTGTATTATGCGACACAAGAAAAAATTTCGATCGGTACGTTAACATCTTTTTTGAACGAGCATCGAAAATTTGACTTGAAATCTTTCGTAGTTAAAAGATGAAAAATGAAGAGTGCTTGTCCGATTTGGTGAAAATAAAAACAGCGCAAAAGCAGTAAGAGTGTACGAAAGATATTTTTAATTTTTCAAGAAATGGCTCGATAGTAAAAAAAAAAAAAATGAAAATACGAATTAATTCATCTCTTAACTATCGTTGCTTAACATAGCCAAACATCGAGCCAAGGGATTAAGGCTCGAGGTTGACGACTGACTACTACGCATCCTATAAGTCATGCATTTACAATACGTGAATCACTTGAACTTTTCTCGGAAAATGTGGGAGCTGTTCTCTGATCAACATGGGGTTAAATAACACTAATAATAACATATTACTCGGTTAGAGGAACGACGTAGAGTGGTTCAGCGAACGAAAACATACTCACTGACCTTTAATGGTCGTTACACTGACAGACAAAACACGACTAACCAACTATATTTTTGTAAATAATTATATATCGTTAGTAAATCTTTATTTCAAAATACACGACTTTCTTCCATCTAAACTCGGTTTTTGCAAGTTTAACCTTTTATTTCTCGAAAAATCTGTTACTTTAGATTCGAATCCAGCATTTTCAAATTTACGAAACGCACCTGAAATTCTTAACGCGATCGAGAACAATTTTTTTTTTTGTAAAGTAATGTATTTTGGGTAGTACAAAAAGAACACTGTAAAAATTCGTGTTCAAATTGTAATAGGTTTTCCGACTGCGTGCACAGCTTCCTTAGCATTGGCGAGATATTAAACACAAGAAGAATACAATTAATTTCAAAACTTATATTACAATACCTGCATTATGCAGTATTTAAAAAGTACGTAATTTCCCTCGAATAAATTGCAGTCGTGATTAAATTAACCCTAGCGCGATCTTCGGGCTTTTTGTTTGACTCGTCGCCTCCTTATTTTTTTAATAACTTTTGCTGTTGTCAAGTTTACGTTCCCTTAACATCATATTAAAAGTTTATTGTCTAGGTACATATGGCGTGCTGGTAACAAAAATTGTTGCAACAATTTGAAATTAGCCATTAATTAAAATTGGGTCAAAACAGACCCAAACACCTTGGGTGTACAGTTTTTCATTGCCAATGTGTTTATCACTTGAAATAAATTAATTGTTGCTATTTCACTATTTATACTATTCAGTCAACCCTCTGTAACACCATGTGACTTATTGTTAGAAGTTACGTTCTCATTTATCTATACTTTACAGTCTCATTTTATTTATTCATTATTATACCATTGCATTATATTGTTGTACTATTACATTATTACCAGTCAATGTTTTTGTTATAATTATTACATTTTTGTAATAATTAAAATTTTTTAAATTTATAATTATTAGATTTTTCTGTAAGAATTATTTTTTACATTTATTCTTACTTCTCCCTTTAAAATATATAAAAATATCAACTGAAATTCTTCCCCTCACGAACGAAGAAAAATCCGGTTATAGAGGGCTAAAACAAGAAATGAAGAGAAAATAGGAAATCTCGTTAAGTTCTAAAATAGCGTAAAATAGTTTATAATTGCTAATAACCAAGTAGATGCGACTTAAATCACTATGTATATAGAAGATAAAGATTTCAATCGTAATTTGTCTCTTACAAGCCACACAGAATATCTTAAGAAATAGAAAATATGAGAAAAATAATGAAAAAAAAGCTGACTTGATTTTCCGTCCTTTCGATAAGCAAATCGATATCCTCCTTTTGTTTGTTCACATCCTCGACATACTTCAAATCGGCCTCCTCTAATTCTTCCTTCAATTCCGCAATTAAGGCATCTTTTTTCGCCAACATTTCGAGACATTTCGAATTTTGAATTTCCAGCTCATCGTGAATATCTATCGGGTCTTTCGAGGCAAGAATTTCCGGCCATTTTTCCATGATATCACGGTAATTCTCCATGCACTTTTCGTTTTCCTCTTCGAGCACCTGCAACAAACTTTGTCTCTTCTCTTGCATCTCCTTTCGCCTTTGCAATTCCTTCATATCGTTCGCCACTCTGACGCCGGCAACCTGCAAACATCAATTCGTTACAATTCAAAATTTCTTGTAAACGTAACAAATTTCTGTTGGAATTTTTTCCACACGTGCAAATTCTTTTATTATCATTTTATCTTCTTTATGCACGGTCCACGGAAGGGGGTTCCTAACGCGATTAAGTCCCCACCACGTGCCGTTAGCAAGAGACGGAGAAAGTAGAAAGAAAGAGGGTACATTCACTTAAGGTCAGCATGCCTGCGTTTGCTACAGCGAGAAGGACGGAGTAGGGGAAGAAGTCTAAGCTCCGGAGCTCAAAGTGGACAGTACTAATTTAGAACATTTTTCATTGCGTTCGCTGTATCCTTATTCGGTGCATTTTTCAGGAAAATTGTTTAAACATTTGTACTCGTCGATATACATCTACGGAGACCGATCGAAATATAATAGAAAAGTAACGAAGTTGCACATTTGTCAAATATGAAGTTTAAACAATAATCAATTTCTGCTAATAACTTGCTTACGATTGTTATTATTTTATTCTAATTATACAGTGTGGTTAATTTCACCTTTTTGTATTTAGGTTATCTTTTGAAGAATTAAATGTACATAAATTGTGCTAATTCGAAAAGTAGATATATTTAAAATGCATACAACGGTATTGCGAGTTAATTAATGAAGAAAATTCATAAGATAAGTTCCCGTGCTCTTGTATCGCAAGTATTAAAATTTGATTAAAAGTGCAATCATTTTTTAATTTATGATACGCCGGGACAATTATACTATATTGCGAGGTATCGCGATATTTTAATATCTTTGTTGAAAGTTGATCGTTCATTATAATCATTTATGAATTTATCAATCAAGAAGATACAGTGGATTCTCTAAAATTAATAATCAACGATGATTAATTATTGAAAACTTCAAATTGCACGTACCACTTCATCTCCTTCTGCAGCCAACTTTTCTAAAGCTTCCACACTATCGAGTATTTGCTTCTCGACGAGAATGATTTTAGTGGTTTCTTCATTGTCAGCTTTTATTAGTCTATTTGACCATCGTTTATTAGTTATTTATACAAAAATTATTGTGTACAGAATTATGAAAGAATACATTCAATATGGTTTTAATAAACAGTAGATAAGAGTTAATTTATGCAAAAGCGAATAATACGTAATATAAAATACAATATATGATTTATTATTAAAACATTAGTATTAAAATTTTATTCAATTTTTACCTATGTCGGGCTTCTGAACGTCGTTGAATACGAAGTCTGCGTGCCAATTTACGCTCGTTTGCATCACATGATAAAATAGATGGATCTCCGGGAGTCTCAGACATTTCTGAATATTTAGCACGTAATAACACGTATCCTTTAATTTACGTACGCGAAAATATGCGTTAAATAATATATAAAAGAGATTGAAATTAAAAATCAACGTTTGTATCTTAATTTAACATATACGTATATTCGTTTACAATTAAAGTATCATGTAAAAGGTTATACATTACAGTTATGTTAAAACTGATAATAAAGGGCTGTATACTTCTAGGTACGTAAAATAAACAACTTTGTTTGTTCGATTCGGAACTATGTTGTGTTTACTGTTGGTAACTCATAAATTCTGAATATTTAGATTTCCTATAGATGGCACTGAGTATAACTAAAGTAATCATTATTAAAGCTGCAGTATTGGAAGCTGTCGCCACCATACCAATATCGTTGGACAATATGTTTAAACAAACTACAGATTATCAAAAGTGTGTGCAATATTAAAAAATATAGTTTCAAAATAACTACATTGAAATTTAACGAGTTTAAACTTTAGATGAGAATGTCAAATTACAAGTATTGCTTTCCAAAATTTATGTAAAATTTTAACGTTAATTTTATGTTTATATTGTATATTAATATGTACTTCACGCATTGTTCACTTCCACACTTCATCTGTTGTTATAACAATATCGCTATTAGTGTCATAATGATTAAATTAATATTTTATCATGATATGAAAACGTAAAATATATATTTTTTAAGCAAGCCAAACATTCTGTTATCTTATAAGAAGAAAATATACAACGAACCAGATTATATTTGTGTTGTTTCTTAAACCAGTAAATTTTGTACAGTAAATGAATTAAAGACGAATGAAGGAAAAGTGTATAATAGATTATTATTTTAAACAATTTTTTAAATAGACAGAAATTACTAGCATAAAATAGGTTATATTATTCTTACAAATACATTCCTTTTAATTGAAAATGACGTACAAAGCTATAAATGATAAAATTACAATTTGCAATTATAATATTGTATGTTTAAAACAGGAATTAATATTTAGTACAGGCTGTGCATATAAAATCGAAATAGTATTTTTAAAAATGTTACGAATGACACGAAATACTACTCTCTTTTCTTATGAACATAAATATTGTAGAAATATTCTGTATTATATAGTTTTTATACATTTATCATCACAGGCAAATACAATAAGTTACAAAATACATTTCAAATCATTCTCAAGAATTTATACGACTTCTCATAAAAATATGAGATATAATTAAATGTTCGTTTATTTAATAACACAATTTTAACGAAGGTTTATAACAAAAGATAAATTGATAACAAGTATTAAAAATATTTTATGATAAATATCACAATTAATTGATCATATAAGTACGATATAAAATTTAACGCAACAAACATCGTTATATACGAACGTTGTTCATTAGGAGATCTCTATAAATCACCGACATAGAACACGCAATAGGCGTATTCTCGTTCAAAACGATCTCAACACGAACCAGTCATGAAACTGCCTTCGTTTTCGGACAAAGCAATCCAAGTGCGACGGAAATCGCTTTCTCTAGCCTCGATGACGTACTTTAACCGACAAACGGATGTTTGGTATTGTCGCCAATAGAGTTAATTTCATATGAGCAACTCGTTGTAAACCATTAAAAGAACGTATAACACGAAAAGATAGACGAACATTAGATCTCGTAAAGTCGCAGCAACTACATCGACGCCATGAATCTACGACTTTGAAGTGAGTTTAGCGGAAACAAGATGGAGCAGGGACAGGCCCGCGTCAACCTGCTTTGGTGCCCCACCTTGCTTCAAAAGTCACTATTTACGTATCTCCGTTCAATTTCGAATATAATCATGACGAAAGTAAATGCAAACAAGATAATTTGATGAAATTGAATACCGTTTAAAATATAACACGTAGAATATAATTTGTTGAAATTGTATAAAAAATAATGCAGAGTGTATTGTCGCTATTTTGATATGCTTCGTGTAGTATTTAATGCAATTTGTGTGTTTGAACTTAAAACGTAAGAACTTATTGCTGGATCTTTGTTGTAATAGACCAATCCATTACCACCCATATAACATACACGTACACATATGTATGTACATAGCACTTTTCGAAAATGAAAGAAATACGAGATAGTAGATAGAGATACCGTACAAATTCCGTTTTTATCGTAGAAGGAACGGTATCACAATGTCAAACAAGATCGAATATGATTTGGTCTTACAGTATAATGTTCTAAATCTTATAGGATATCTATAGAATAATATTCTGCATTTGCACATTAAGCGTTCAGTCTGGTAAATCTTTCATTAGATTATACGTGGCGTCGAATCGACGCGTTTGTTTAATCGTTACTTTCTTGATTAGAGAGCACGTCACAAAGTTAAGTACTTTTATTTTCGTAATAATCCGATTTTCCGTCTTTATTCTCGATAGAAAGTACCGATGCCCCGGGTAATTGGCTGCCCCTAAACCGGCCCTGGAGAGAGCGGGATGAAAAGAGAGAGAACACACAACAAAGATGGCGGTTGAGAAGTGACGGCGGAGGAGGCACGAGATAGGAGGAAGAGGACGAAGAGATTACGGAGTAGGAAGAAAAGAGGAGAAAAGAGGACGGAATGACGGGGTGCGGGGTGATTCGTTAAGTAGGCAGGAGAGGTGGTGGTGGGAGAGGGGAATCGATGGGAAGAGACGCGAAGAGGCGAGAGGAGAGGTAGCGACGAGAGAGATAGAATGGCTCGAAAGGGACGACACGGCTCGGGGGTTCGGGTTAGCTCGTTCGACCCGTTATCCCTTCTCTCCCGGAGTCCCGAGTTCTCCCTACCTGTCCTTGCTTCGATTCGAACGAGTCCCTCCACTCTCTCCCCACTGGGGACGCACGAAAAGTTTCCCCTACCCAGGACACACTTCACCGACTGGCGGGAGACGATCGCGATTGCAAGCCGCCGCTTTTCGAGGTAGACTCGTTTCGTTCCCCTACGCGGTCTTCCCCACCATTGGACCAACAGCGATACTAGCCAGCGAGCCATACTACGCTCCCGCCACGGTGACGTCACTCCGAGTAGTGTAGTGCAGTGAGAAGGAGCGAAGCCAGCTCCATCCGCGTTACATGGCCCGAGTGAACGAAGCGAGTGCGTTTAAGACGTACATATATAAGCGTGCATCATTACGATCGAGTCACCAAATATATCATTAATTTGTTCGACCAATGCACGTTATGTGACACGATAAGTTATTCGATCGCAAGGAAGGTAGAGGAAAGCGCGCCTCGCTTTAATCGAAAAATTCGGCGTATAATTCTATTAACAGGGTACGAGCGGTGATAATACAGTGATGTGAAAGAAGCAACTACACGCGCTATAAGTGAAGTAAGAGAGAAAGTAATAAAAAGGAATAAAATAAATTGTGTGTCGTGTGCGCGGTAAAAAGAGTTATGCGTTGTAATATTTAACAGGAAGAAAAAGCAACGATTCTGTCGTCTTTAAGTCGATTGTTTTTTTTTCTAAGTGGGGTTTCCGCGACAGTTCGAAAGCGTATCCGCAGCCTCTTTGTCGGTGTATGGGAATATAGCGGAAGCCGTTCAGAATCATCAGGCAGATCGACGCGAGTGTGATTATGCTTGGCAAATATGCGTTGGGATGTATCGTCCGCGCGTTGTGCCCGGAGTGCTTGGTGTGACGTGTGATTAGCCGCTTTTCTTCATACGCGATTCAGTGGTATACGATGTGGTGTTCGGCGACGGTCTTGATCCTTGCAGCCGTTGCCATCAGTGGTGTCCACTATCGAGGCTCCTCCTCCCCTTCTTCGTGGTCATCGTTGTCGTCGGCGTGCGTCGCGACGCAAAAATTTTATCACGAAAGCTCCGTTGCCACCCTCTTCTGTCGACCGATCGTTCTACGGCGCTGTCCTGACGACAGCACTCGTCGTGCTTGGGGTCACCACCTTCCGGCTAGTGACTAGTGATAATCTGTTTGTTGCCAGTGATTAAATTGGGAGTGTCGAAGTGGGAGGAAGCTCCTTCCTTCGTCGTGGAATACACGTAACGGTTCCTTCGTGTCTGTTGTCGCGTGTGTATCGCGAGCTACACGATAGAGAGAGAGAGGGAGAGAGAGATTGAGAGAGAGAGAGAGTGAGAGAGGGGGGAGAGATAGAGAGAGCGAGTTTCCTCTCGTGAATCGAATAGGAAATATCAGTTGTGTCGTTCCGAATCTATTATATACGGATCATTAATTTCTCGCGTAACGAATAATCAACGATTTCAAGGAATCCGACAAGGAGAAAAGAGGCTTCCTTTAGCCGACTCCGCTGGCGGTCTTGAATATCGGTGGTGTAGTGAGAGTGTGCCGTGATTAGCGTCGGGCGAAGTTGTGTGTCGTTGTACAGTGCCGCCAAACGATACCACAACATCCGATCCCAAATGAAGAGTTCGGAGCAAAATGGTTAGAGAGACACGTCACCTGTGGGTTGGAAATCTGCCGGAAAACATCCGAGAGGATCGCATACGAGAACATTTCAAACGGTGAGTACGCTTTTTTTGTTCTTTAACTTATCAACGCCTTTTAACAAAAGGTAGTCTTACATAACTATACATACACTGAGAACTGTACAAGATTCCGCCCTGGCCTCACGGTACCAGCGTAGTTTAACACAAGAGGACACGAACCTTGAGATTCTCAACAAAACTATAGAACCTCCTAAAATTTCCTTCCTATTGAAATATTTTTAATTTATTCGTAAATCTTACAGTTCGACGATAAACTGACCCAGAAATATGTACATAGTCCCTACAATATATATTTAAGAGTGGGAAATAGAATGTTTTTATTGTTGCCGTACTTTAGGCACGGTTAACGATATTTCGTCTAAAATTTTACAACTATATGACCATGCCTTCGTAGGGTATGCTAAGCTTTATCCTGTCGGTTTTACCAAATGTAAAGCGTTTTATACAACGTTTCATGACCGGTAAATAAATTATTAGAGAAATGCCTTTGTTAGTTAGTTTGTTTATGTTTTCGA